GTGGGTGACAAGGTCACCATTACGCCGGTAATTGTGTTTACAAACACAGAACTCAGATGCAACCTTGTTAGGTAGGTAGGTGATTTGCCGAAAAATAAATAAATTTGCACGTTTAGTCAGCATCCCCCAAGGGGGAGCTTTAGGTTACAATTGTGACTAGGTTATGTGCGTCATATAAGATGGCTTAGCCTTGCTCGCCACCAACAGCCCTGAAAAGGACTAGAGCAGGGTTGATGCGATCAGAGGAGACAGACCCAAATACTGTTTCGACCGGCGACGAAGTCGTCTATCGGTGTGCCAATGGGCGACCCAGTCGCCGTTGCAAACGTTTTGAGAAGACCAAAGAGTAAGGGACCTTAGCTCTGTCTGATCGTCTCCTTCAGAAGATATAATCCTAGCTTTCCTTTTTGTTGTCGTAGTGCCCGAGAAGGCACATGCAAACTCCACATTGATCACAAAAATGCAAACATCACAACCAATATTTCATTATCAATTTACAATCATTTAAAACATACTGTACATCCAAATGGTGGAGAGAAACAATGGAATGTATGAAACAAACAATGAATGCGTGGAGCCAGATGTGAATCCCTCGCACGTAGCAACTAAACACAACGTTTAGTGCGTAAGATTATTATGTCATCTGCGCCAGTTAGGAAGTACCCTGACATCCAGACCGGGCACAACAGACAGACATAACTGTCAGGGCAGACAAGAATACAAGTGAAAGACAGACTGTGAATTATAAATATAAAATGGATGAATGAGTTAATAAATGAACGAAATAATGAAAAATTGTGTTATTTTACACAAGGATAACTTTCATCACACATAAATATATTGTCGTATTTTTCAAATATCAAATAAGGCAACCAGGAACGTAGAGAAATTCATTTTTTTTAGTTAGTTATGTGCGTCGGTTTCTAATTTAAAGATTTAAACCAGGCAGCGAAAGACATGGTCTGTTCTTTGAGTTTTTATTTTGCCGAGATATTCGTATGTGCAACGTCAACCCCTAAATTGTCGAGGTTATATTATCCAACCAGACGTTCGACCCGCTTCCCAAGAACTCGGGGTGCTTGACTTGACATTCTCCGGACAAGCGAACATTTATAGTTGTTTTTATACTTCCGGTCCATTTTAGGACGAAATTTTTCGTTATTTGAAGCCCTACTCTGGCTCTTGCCAGGGGCCGCAATATGACCTGGCTCTAAATGTGGCATGGGGGCTGAAAGCGGTTTCAGGGACCTCTCCACGGTGGCCCTCACAAACATGGTGGCACATTGTGTCATCGGGTGTTTATCGCTTGTGTGATGTTCTGGTGGGGTAGAGAGTCAGTCAGTCAGTCAGTCAGTCAGTCAGTCAGTTAGTCAGTCAGTCAGTCAGTCAGTCAGTCAGTCAGTCGACATTTATAGCTCGCATGGTTCAGAAGCTGAAGTCGTACCTCAAAACTACTTCTTCTCAGGGTAATCACTGAACATCAACGATCAGTGATTCATGCTTGATGTGAATAAAAGAGTGAGTGAGCAAACCAATGGATGTGAACACATAGATGTGTACATTAAAGAAATCACCTATCCATAAATTAATTCACGAAAAATTGTATGAATGTACAACATTTAATTCATACACCAGGTTTAAGAATAATTAATGCTGACAGTGTGTGTCCAGGATAATTAAGACTAACAATCTGTACACGAAATCATAGTTCAAAGCTATTGAGCTTTCCTAGACCAGTGGAGGTATACTTACAGAATGTGGAAGGGAACCAGTCTCTAAACATCATATCACTTAATCATACCAGATTGCCCGGGAACGCCTGGGAGCAATGACATGTGACAAATAGGCATGCATGCTAGAGTAAACCGATTATGTTCATCAAGGATTATTTATCACTACTGTAGTATAAAAATTAGTAGTAATAAGTAGTAGTAGTAGTAGTAGTTGATGATGAAATAAATGCAAGGATATCTAGGGCTAGCGTTGGCTTTGGCAGATTGTACAAAAATGTTTGGAACAGAAGTGCATAATCCGGCAGACAAAGGTTAAAGTATACACAGAGCAGATGTATTAACTACACTGCTGTTCGCATGTGAAGCATAAACTGTATACCAGCGCCAGGGTAGAAAGTTAAACCACTTTCACACAACCTGCCTTAGAAAAATAATGCAGAGGCAGCAGCAGTATGAGCAACAGCTGCAGCAGTAGCAGAAGAAAAAAAAAAGAAGAAGAAAAAGAAAAACAGAAACAGAAACAGAAGAAGAAGAGAACAAGAAGAAGAAGAAGAAAAAGAAGAAGAAGAAGAAAAAGACAAAGAAGGAGAAGAAGAAGAAAAAGAAGAAGAAGAAAAAGGAAAGCCATCAGCTAAACAAACTACAGCTCACAGTTTGCGAAAGCCTTACAAATTTCTATCTTTCTGTGAATATATTTAAAATGGAATGCTCTTTTAGCATATTTCAAATTATTTCCCTATAATTTTTTTCTACTTTTATATTACTCTTTTTTGTATATTATCTCAAACTTTTATTTATTCGAATTTTTTGTAGCCTTTGTAAATTCACTAAAATAATAAGCCTGATGCACTTCAACTTCCAGGTTTATTTTAATTGGTTTAAATGGACACGCTTAGTGTCTTTTGTCTCAATCACGCTTAAGGTCTTTTGTCTCCGTCACTCTTAGTGTCTTTTGTCTCAGTCACGATTAGTGTCTTTTGTCTCAGCCACGCTTAGAGTCTATTGCTCTCTCTGTCAATGGGATTAGATGGTGTAATGCAAAATATCAGGGCTTCAGGGAATAATATAGCTGGCGTCCTTATCAAGTCCTAAATCCGGTCCTGTATATATGACATGGTGGAACATATGTCTGTAAGTAAATATCGGTTGGCACATACAAGGTAAATATGAATGTCTAGGCAAACATGCATGCAGATTGTTATTTACAGTACATGGCGATACACGAGTAACTAACGAATCCTCGGTGGTCAGTTCAGTCAATCAATCATTCATGTGCAGCCGTTCCAATCAAGGTCTCCAGTACCTCCCCCCTACATGCACATCTCTCATTCTACTGTTCGTCCATCTCTTGATGTTATCCTCCCTTTTCAATCACTGTCTGTCTCTTGCTTTCTTGACTTAAACATCTCCCTCCTGCACAGTTATGAAAAGTGTTTTAACTCGTTTAATATGGCGGAAATATTTCGCTTGTATCCCATTTTACTTTCTCTCTGCAGCTCTTTTTTTTTCTTAATGTTTTCAGAACAGTTGTAATTTACACATGGTTACAGTTTATCGTCGAAGCCAACCTCGACTGTTATGTACATAGTAGAGAGCAGCGATGAAATAAACCTTGATTGTCAATTGCATGTTGTCACATACACGGTGGAACATGGGCGTTGAAGCAATCCTGCCTAATAAATACACAGTGAGACATGAGTATTGAAAGAAACCTCAGTTATCGCGTGTAGTAAACATATCTGATGTGCACAAGCACAGTACAAACATAATAAATATTCTCTAATCAAATATATAACCACACAAAATAAAGGGCGGAAACAAGTGTTTCAGCCGATGGCTTCAGCAGATTTGAGGCAGGTGGATTGTTTGATGATTCAAGTATTATATGTTTATTATAAACATATTTTAGTTTTACTTGGTATGTGTTCGTCGACAAACTTAATTCAGTAGAGTATGTTCTCGATGGACTCATGACCCTCATCGTTTTTTTCCCACACAAAGATATCATTTGGTTTTCTTAAATAAAAACTGTGGTATGGGTTTATGAAACAGACACAATAGCTGGCTGTTTTGTTGGAAACAGATCTTTGCTTTCGTGCCAGGTGGGCTGTGGCATTTTGAGAAAGCTGTCTAGAATTGCTTTGTATGAATATACTCTTTTTTTTTTTTTTGGGCGACACTCCTCTCTGTCTCTTCCTTCATTGAAAGAGTTCTCTACTAGACCAGAGTGATGTGATGATTGTGACCCACGGAATACACTCTGACACCGATGGATGCTAACATGTTCTTGTTAGTCAAGGGTGGACAAAACAGCAGCGTATCTTCAAACTTATGTAACTTTCCGAGGAGCAGTAGTTTTAGTTGTTAAATAGTAGATATATCTATTGGTCAATGCACTTGATTCAGTAGAGTATGTTCTCGATGGACTTATGACATATCAAGACACCCATAACTTCTTTACCACAAAGACAGCTATCTTGATTGGTTACCGCACCTAATACGTAATCTTTAGTTAGAATGTCGTTGATGTTATGGCGACATAATTTTGTAGAGTGAAAACCCACTAGCATCTTCTTGTATTTCCTGTCATCTAAAGACATCTTCAAACGACAAAATATGAAGAGCTAGTGGAGTAAGTTCTTGTCAGGAGTAGCCATCAGGGTGTATGACTCTGTCGCTAGCGCATATGTGCAGGTTCTGGTATAGATCGTCTCTGAAATGGGTACTGAGGCTGCGTCCCACGTGAAGTTCCGCCAGGCCGCCGTTCTCGCTGTGGCCATTCTGTCGAGGCAGGAGTTGTCCATGCCCAGCATTGCTGCTGTTGGAGCTACGTCCACTGTACCCGCTGATTCGACGGTTGACTTCCCGCTGGGACGCCGCTAGTCATTCCGACATCTGCGTTGTTGTGGTCAGAGCGTCCTCTTCATAGTCGCGAACTCCCTTACACACTTTACACGAGAGCAAGCGGCGGAATGCATTGTAAAAGTTTCTGTTGAAGTAGTAGTACAGCAGAGGGTTCATCAGAGAATTGATGTAGCCAAGCCACAAGGCAATCTGCCAGGGGATGTATGCAATCGAATATCCGATTAGTGGATCAATAACATTCATGATGAAAAAGGGAAACCAGCAGACAGAAAAACAGCCCATTATGATTCCCAGAGTTTTTGCAGCTTTGGATTCTTGTTTAAACTTGCTTTTTCTCTTACAATGGCTGAAATGGTAGTGATTCCCCGCAGCCTCCAGGGTTCGAATCTGATGTGCTTGCTTTATGGCAGCCATGTAGATCTTCACATTGCACACAGCCATAAAGGCTACAGGGATGTAGAAGGCAATAAGAGAACCGATGATGGCAAAAGGGATGTTGACAATAAACGCGCAGGCGTTATCATCAGCTGGGAAAGCGCAGGTGATGATGTCTTCAATCCCAATGTGGTTCCACTCGTTAAAGATCGGGATAAATGAAATAAAAATGGGCGTTAGCCAGCAGAGGGCAAGCATGACGCCTACCCACCTGAAAGTGAGACGCTCGTGAAGAAATGGACGGCAGATGGCCAGGTATCGGTCGATGGCCAGGCAGGAGAGGTGGAAGATGGATACAGTGCACATCATGACGTCCAGACTGGAAGAGAGTTTACACAAGACTTCTCCGAGAAGCCAAACCTTGTTGGTAAATTGTTGGTAGATGGAAAAGGGCATGACAAACAGGGCCACACACATGTCTGCAACCGCTAGCGATACAACAAAGGCATTGGTGGGAGTTCGCAGTTTCCGGTGGGTAATTACTGCAAGAATCACAACACAATTTCCAAAGACAGTCAACAAGGGTACAAGGATGAGTATCATTGAAACAGTGTATCTCAACACATTGTCGTACTCAGGAGGTGGCCCTGGCATATTAGCCATAATATCTTCACATTTTAACTGCGATATATTATAACTTTTATCCGGCCATGGCGACACGCTGACATCTGCGATGTTGCAGGCAAGCTTGGGTACCTCCAGTGGAGGAGCAGATGTTACTTGATCCAGCTGAATCCCCAGGGTCACCATTGTTCAGATATGGGAAAACATTCTGCAATGGCTGTAATTTAACGTGTGTTTATAGACATTGCTTGTTGTCGCTCAATTTTCTTGTTTGTAGCTGCGCTCTCTTGTGATAACGACACAGAGTAAATGATACCCCTTTTATATAATGGCACAGTCTTATTATGGTGCCACTGTGTCAGTTGGATTCCTTGGTTACACTGGTGCTCTTTGGCGATAAAGAAACATTTAAATGAGATTGCTTAGTTCCGGCGGCGCTCTCTTTCGGTAGCGAATCAGAGTCAGTGAGATTCATTGGTTACAGCGATGCTCTGTTGCTCCCTCTGTCAATGAGTCACCTTATTGATGGCGTTGCTCTCTTGCTCCCTCTGTCAATGAGTCACCTTACTGATGGCGTTGCTCTGTTGCTCCCTCTGTCAATGAGTCACCTTACTGATGGCGTTGCTCTGTTGCTCCCTCTGTCAGTGAGTCACATTATTGATGTCCTTGCTCTCTTGCTCTCTCTGTCAATGAGACACCTTACTGATGGCGTTGCTCTCTTGTTTTCTCTGTCAATGAGACACCTTATTGATGGCGTTGCTCTCTTGCTCTCTCTGTCAATGAGATACCTTACTGATGGCGTTGCTCTCTTGTTCTCTCTGTCAATGAGACACCTTATTGCTGGCGTTGCTCTCTTGTTCTCTCTGTCAATGAGACAACTTATTGATGGCGTTGCTCTCTTGCTCTCTCTGTCAATGAGACACCTTATTGATGGCGTTGCTCTCTTGCGTTAACTTCATACCAGTCTGTAATTAAAAAAAAAAAGCCAATGTATTATGTTCAAATAAGTAAAGCATAAAGAAATAAACAACAATAACTATCAAGTGTTGAGTGTTCATCTAAGCAACTGATATCACAGCAGTCGGGCATTCCCGTAAGCGATCAGTCCACATCTTCAACATGTTCAGAGCCAGCAAATAGTTCTCATTGCGATTGTGCGAGAATAAGTTCGATTAAATATCCTTTATAATGAGTGTAGTATCGACCATATCCCAGGACACTGCTAGCTGTGTTATTCTCTAAAATTAACAACGATCTGTTCGTGCTTATGCATTGTTAACTTGCTCTCATAGGTTTTGACCTTGAAACAGGCTGTGTGTTCGGTCCCTGCCCCTCCTTCCTGGTACCATACTTTCTGCTATTATTTTAGCCAGTCCGTCAAAAATATTTCAGCTTTCAAGACAAAATGCTGTTTATTAACCAATCCTCCTTGATGTTTAGATCAGTTAAAATGTCATGATTTCTGTTCTTCTCTGTCCGTGGTATTCAGAGAATCTTTATTTAGCCTTTCAGTCCAAAACCATAGTTTCTTTCTTAAAGACTAGGAGATAGTCCACGACTGACACACATATGTTGCTACGGAAAAGGTGGGAGACAGTCCACGACTGACACACATATGTTGCTACGGAAAAGGTGGGAGACAGTCCACGATTGACACTCATATGTTGCTACGGAAAAGGTGGGAGACAGTCCACGACTGACACACATATGTTGCTACGGAAAAGGTGGGAGACAGTCCACGATTGACACTCATATGTTGCTACGGAAAAGGTGGGAGACAGTCTACGATTGACACTCATATCTTGCTACGGAAAAGGTGGGAGACAGTCCACGATTGACACTCATATGTTGCTACAGGGAAGGTGGGAGATAGTCCACGATTGACACTCATATGTTGCTACGGAAAAGGTGGGAGACAGTCCACGACTGACACACATATGTTGCTACGGAAAAGGTGGGAGACAGTCCACGATTGACACTCATATGTTGCTACGGAAAAGGTGGGAGACAGTCTACGATTGACACTCATATCTTGCTACGGAAAAGGTGGGAGACAGTCCACGATTGACACTCATATGTTGCTACAGGGAAGGTGGGAGATAGTCCACGATTGACACTCATATGTTGCTACGGAAAAGGTGGGAGACAGTCTACAATTGACACACATATGTTGCTACGGAAAAGGTGGGAGACAGTCTACAATTGACACTCATATGTTGCTACGGAAAAGGTGGGAGACAGTCTACGATTGACACTCATATGTTGATACAGGGAAGGTGGGAGATAGTCCACAATTGACACTCATTTGTTGCTACAGGAAAGTTGGGAGATAGTCCACGATTGACACTCATATGTTGCTACAGGGAAGGTGGGAGATAGTCCACGATTGACATCCGTATGTTGCTACAAGGAAGGTGAGAGATACTCCACGATTGACATCTGCATGTTGCTACAGGGAATTTGCCCACTCTCAAAATTTGAAGTTTGATTTCCTTGCTGGTGCTTACCCATATACTTTTAATGTTGTTCAATCTTTGTATTGCTATGGCCATCCTCCTTGTGATTCTGTCAAACAGTCTCCATTGCTATTTATTATAAAGCCTTGATATTCAAAGTTTGTGACATTTTAAATTTCTCCATCATGTATTGTTATTTTTATAACCTAAAATAGTAGGGGCCTCAAAGTTTATATAGCTTAGGGCATCATGAAGTCTACATCCGGTCCTAGAGCTAACCACCCAAGTCTAGCGACTTCAAGTGAAGAGCCAGGTCATTGCACTGTTAAACAAACAGGGTACAAGTGCATTCCTTGAACGCTGGTAGGAAACTTGAGTCGGCAAGTTACGTCAATTCAAGGTGGTATACTGTCTGAAGGACAGTGGTGTCCGTTACCATCCCGTCGCGAGAACAATCCTGGATGTGAGACCGGCGGAAATCGAGATCTCTGCAGATGGGGGGCAAGCACAAGCCTCTACAAACGTAGCAGGAGACTCATTTGTATGTCATTCACATATAGTGTAGACAAGGTCACAGCCAGACTGTTTACACAGTCGCCACAAGAAGGTGGAGGTGTCAGCGCAGGACCTGGTTGGGGATCCGTAGGGGCGGGAGAAATGTAGCAGAGAAACACTTGTGCCGATACATCTAATGGAAGACAAGTGGTTGGGGATGGTGGGGGGGGGGGGGGGTTCTCAAGGGATCTAAGCCTTGTTTAGATGCGTATTTTAATAATTTGCATCAGGCTAGCTGCTTATCATTTACAGGATGTTTCAGAACAGACCCAACTTTTTTTGTCTATTTATGGTGTAACTATGCAATCATGAACAAAAAATGGAATGAATTCAAAGTGGAGATCAGACAAATTTCTGGACAAACACCTGTATCGACTGCAGTAAAAAAAAAATAAGGTGGAGATATATTGGGCACACTCTGAGATGAAATGAGAGAGAGAGAGAGAGAGAGAGAGAGAGAGAGAGAGAGAGAGAGAGAGAGAGAGAGAGATAGAGACAGAGAAAGAGAGAGAGAGAGAGAGAGAGAGAGAGAGAGAGAGAGAGAGAGAGAGAGAAAGACCTGAAATGGGAAACAAACGGTCTGAAAAAAAAAGAGAGTGTAAAAGGAAAAAAATTAGAAAATGCTGAGCTGAACTCCATGTCAGAAATTGAGAGAGTTGCATGCAATAGAACGAGGTGAAGGAATCGAATGTGAGCGCCATGGGATGATGTTGTTGAGGATGATGATAATCTTGGAACCCTAGCTCATGTGCCGTGCTGTGAAATGTGGACAGGCCCAACAGTTCAAAGCAAAACGGCTCGGCTGTATGCATGTTTCTCCTGGTAGTACGCAGTACTGGCACTTCTTAGACATCATCTATAGAAGTATGTCGCTACAATTAACTATACCTGTTTTGAACATATTTATATGTTTTCTGGCAAAGTATCAATCTCAGTCGTGTTTCATCTATACTCATTATCTAGCAAAACAAAAGATCCCTGTCCCCTCCTTTCAGGTGTAATAGGCATATAGTGCTACACCCACTTGTTAGACTAATGGGCACTCAACGGGTGATGTGAGACCTATTTAAGGCTGAGTCGACCTGGGAGCCAAAGTCACTGGTTTCCTCAGGATCTGAACCCACGACCTACCAATCTGCAGTCTAGCCGCTACACCACGGTGGTTCCCTGTATTCATTACACTCTGGCCCAAATAGCGACCATTCCATTCAACATCCCCACAACTATGCCTCTAATGTATTTTTAGCCTACGTGTTGAACCATATTGTATTTCTGCAGGAAAAAGGTCTAATGCAGCGTTCCTCAACCTGTGGGTAGCGACCCTTTTGTGGATCGAACAACCCTTTCACATGAGTCGCCAAAGACCATCGGAAAATACACATTCAAAGAAGTTATGATGCAGTAAAGAAAATAATTGTATGGCTAGGGGTCGCGGTATTAAACTATATTAAAGAGCATTAACAAATGTGAGAACCACTAGTCTAATGTAACCTAGATAGCACGGCTTGCTAACATTATCCTGGTGAGAAATGCGATGCTTGTCTTCTGTGTAACACATGAGCTATAGTCGGTTTCAAAAGTCGTGTCCAACTAAAAAAAAATGTATCTCACTAACCGTTGGGTGTAAATTGTTGAAATATGGCACGAAGTCTGTTTTTAAATCATTTCTTTAGATTATTGAATAAAAAAATGTAAACAAGCATTTAGTTTTCATTTGCCTTATTTGCAAACACGGACACCCATTTAAAGCAAACAACCAACATGCTTATGGTTAATTTCGAAAAAAAAAATTGCACGCCTTTCACTCTCAAATGGTCGCCTCCGTGAGTTATTGAATTTTCATTGTATGCAGGATAGGCTTTCAAAAATAATAGCCACGCATCACTGCTGATGAGAACTGAATTCCAAAGAATCTCCACGCGTGTTTCAGCTGCTGTGAATTCTATTTTGCAGAGTCAGACAAATTATTAATCAAACAAGGAACAAACAAACTGACCGCTTTTAAAGAACAGCAGCACCTGTGCAACTATAACTTATAAAATCTCTAGGGCAAGAGAAATCTAAGAACGTATGCTAAAATTCGTCTGCAATTTATCTCAGAAAGTCATCATCGACGACGAAATCAATGTTAGAATTTTAAAGGCCAGTAGCAGTTTCGGCAGACCTTATACCAGT